ATTATTATTATTATTATTATTATTATTATTATTATTATTATTATTATGCATGAACATTATTTATAACCATATTTGTCTTTAATGTAATGTTATATTGTAATATATATATATATATATATATATATATATATATATATATATTATAAAGGAAAAATTGTCGCTATACGTAGCGAACGACACAAGATACATATGAGGCGCAAATAGCGATGTTTCTAACTTATTTTTCTAAAAAATTATAAAAAAAAATTATGTTCAGAGAACAGTTATATACAATTATATATTTAAATTTATCGTTTTTTTAATTTTTGTTTAAATCTTAAAATTGAGAAAGAGGATATTTAAAATATTATCTAAAATAATTCTTATATCTCTTATCGTTTCGCGTCAGTATTTACTTGGAATGATGATCGATTGTGCTTCAAAGAGGTCTTTCAATCCCTTAATGTGCGATTGAGCATTTATAAAAAAAAATGTCTCTTATTGTTATGTACATTGTCAATATATGATACCTAAAAGCTCATCAAAATTGGACGGAAGAAAAGAATTGGATATACGTGTATACATTTCCTCGTTAGATCTGGTTATCGTTCGTGTTTTCGCAAATACGAACAAATATATATTAAGCGTATAAAGTTCGTTAATACCTTAAGTGAAACGTAGACTATCGTTCTTACTTCTTGCCTCAAGAGCTCAAGAAACCGAATTATAGAGGGTGGAAATAGTCGCGGCGAAATTAAGATTAAGCAGAAGAGCGGAGAGAGAATAAACTGGCACAGGAATTTGCTCGCGGTCCTTATGGCCTCCCTAAGGACAGTCAAGCAAGTAACTGGTTGCAGAAACGGTACGTTTATGGAGACAGCGAAATGGCTCTGTTCGGCCGCACGATAAGTGCTCGTGGAGTCGAGCGAGCGAAAACACATAAGGACTACGAAGAGAGAGAGGATAACAACGGTTGGCTCTCACCGAAACATTCCTCGTGTTTCTGAACCGTTCTCTTTGCCACGACCCGCCGTATCTCTCTCTCGCTGGTGAACCGATAGCTCAATTAGTCACGAGAACGAACTCGCTTTTCCGGCTATCTCTTTTCCCCACCTTCGGCGGTTGGTGGTGTCGGCCGGTCGCGAGAGAAATGGCCGGGGCGAGTCCTTAGGTTTAGGAAGGAAGGGCGGAAGTCGATAAGAGGCAAAGTGGAATCGGGGAAGCGGCGTTGTGGAAGCGCGTAAGCGAAAGATGGAAGAGGGAAGGATCGGCGTCGGGCGTGGAGAGGCAGGACGAGACGAGCGAGGAAAAAGAAACGGAACGAATGAGGGACGGGATGTTGGAGAATGCGCACGCGAACGAGAGAGGTTTTACCGCGAAAGTTTCTCGAGGGAACGAACAGAACGTCCGCTCTACGAGCGCGAGCAAACCAACCCATCGATCGATAGATCCGGAACCGGCGGCTCGTTTCCTTCACCTTCCTTTTTTTTCTCTTTCTCTTCTGGTAAGTCCCGCTCGGGGGACTGTGCTTCTCGGTGGAAGCCTAAAGTTGCAAGCTCGAAAGAAGAACATGGTGTAGTGGCTCTAGTAGTACTGTGAGTGAATCACGAGTTAACGAGTGAATCGAGTTAGAGGTTTGAGATGCGGAAGTTGCTGAAAGTCTTATTGGAAAATGAGAATACGACGCATATGTTGTTGAGTGCTAGAAGGAAAGTTTTAAAGAAGTCTAATTAAATCAGTTCTCAATTATACGTATACAATTAAAAGGGTTGTCGTTGATATGCGTCGTTGATTGTGTGCTATATGATATTTAAACTGGCAGTTTCTATTTTGAGAGAGCATCTTCGAATCAGCAGGACGTGTTCATCAGAATTCGTAGATTTCGGTGACGCTACCTGAGCGCGTGCATTGACAAACACTAAATCCAGATTGAAGTACTGTTCTGCGAAGCAGATAACGTAAAAAGCTTCCAGTAGTTTCATGACACCTTCGCTATGGAGTATCACGCAATTCGCGATCGGGAAAGCTACGTCGATCCGCGCGGCATGACTTCGTTTCGCGTCAATAACGGGTAACCGAGGTATTTTCGGGATTCCCGACGATTTCCATGGTCAGAGAATATTTCGAACGCACTAACGGAGTGAAAGAGAGCGAGAGAGCGAGAGCGAGAGAGAGAGAGAGAGAGAGAAAGAGAGAGAGAGAAAGAGAGAACGAGAACAGTAACCATATCACCGCGGGTTTCACGATGAAACGATTTTTATCAGACGCGCGACAGTGGAGGAACCACGGCGAGTCCGTTTATTTCATGCGTCACAATAGAAGCGCGCGTGTGTGCGTGTGCAGCCCGAAAAAAAGCTCCGATTAATCCGATGCAAGAAGTAAGCGGTGCGTGGAGAACCCGCGCGAGCGGAGCGTGCTCCGGCGTGTTTGTTCAGCTTGGATTTTTATCCGGCCAATAGCGGTGCCTTCACCGAATAACGCGCGGCCATCGTTTGTGCGCGCCGTTCCGTCAGCACGTGAAATTCAACCGCGCCCGCAATTGCGAATTTCACCGGGGCTAACCCATACACACCTTGCTTACATACGCGCTCCGAATATTACGTTTTTTATATCGCACAGGTACCCAACCGCGGGCTATTTTTTTTATTTGTATAAGAAGCTGTATAGAGTGGCTCGATATTCACGAGACGCGTATCGCGACAGTGAGATTTTGTAGCCAAATTGTAACGCCTTTTTGCCTAATAAGAACTATACATTAATTCGTTCGTGAATTTTCGAATGACGGGGAATAAGAATAAAAACGACTTCTCGCGCGTCACCTCACCGTCGTGGTTTGCAATCATTAAAAGTTTAAACGAGAATATCAAATATTAAATGAAAAAATATTTCTCTTTATCCAACTGGCCAACGCGACTTTTTGATTCTTCCCTTTGAAAAAAAAAGGACGTAGTGAAAGGCCTGTGGACAGTTTGGATAGAGAAGCCGTGATACAAATAAACTACTACCCGCAGCTACCCCAGAACCTTTTCTCTCTGATCCTTTTATCTTTTAATTACGCGGATTTCGCCACTCGCTTAAATTCTCCGCCCGCTTTTCCGACTTAAAGCCAATTTTCTCAACGCGATTCAATATGGACAACAATTTATCACTCGATAAAGTAGTGCCAACGAATCTCTTACGTAATATAACAGTCTTGTATTAAATTATTAGAGAAAAGATATCTCGTAAGAGCAGGGAGAAAACTGGATACAAAGAATAACACCCCAACAATAAAATCTGGAATCGTAGATCCAAATAAATTTTAAGAGAAACGCTAAACCGACACTCACGGTTGATCCAACGCATTACTCCCACGAAGGAAATAGCGTCTTGAGCGGAGAATTCGAGAGACGAGGATAAATAAAAGGTACGTGTAAATCTCTGGAGAGCCGAAACGTTCCGCGCGCCTTCGCGATCGATATATCCGAAAGAGTTTCGGACCGTGGGAAACACAGTGATTCCCAGTCCTCGAGAGGAGCGTGCAGCAGCAGCCCGTCCAAATACCGTGATCGTTACGGCGCATCTGAATGCGGATTCCCGATACGAGAGCGGAGGAGAGAGGAAAGGAGTGTCCGTCTCCCCGTCCGGCTCCTTTCCAGTCACCGTGTGTATTCGCCCGGCAAGCGAGCTTCCCGTGCGAATTGAAAGTGCTGAAAGTCCCGTCGAGGCGAATTGCCAATTGCTTCGTCGCTCCCAGCCAGAGGCTTACTGCGGCACGGAATTGGAAATACCGTGGCGCGGCTCTGTCGAACCGTCTAGCGTTTGCCGCGAGACAGGACTATAGGATTCACTCTAGCGTGTATATACATACGTACATATGCAGGTTGCTATATACAGAGACGCAGAATTTGCTTCGTGGAAAGGGTGGTAGGTACGCGTTAACCTGTCAAAAGTTTAATCCATCTCTCGAGATCCGCGGATCTCTTGTGATTCCGAAATCTCGCAGATCGTTCCTAGAGAAATATCAATTGTATTGGTCAAGAGATTATGGAGAGTGCCTTAAACTTCACGAATCTTGTTGTTTCGTCGAAGATAGCATTCTCTGGAGAAACAGAGTTTGTGTCTGCTCAGTTTAGACCGCTACAGATCATTCGATGAACCAAAGATTAATATCCTTTTGAGCTGTCAACTCGTACCTACCTACCCCATTAATTTCACTTCAATCATTAATCGTTTCATCTGTCGAATACTATGAGATCGCGGTACTCATTTATAAAATACGTCTCGCCGATCCGTATTGTGAGTTAACGTCAACATTAACGGATCTATTCGTGTACGCAGAAAGTGCATCCCACGCGTTAAACCTTCGTGAAACGTGCGAAAAAATTCGTGCTCGCGCCCAGCTTGAAAAATACACCTATACACATGCACGCGCGATGAGAATGCGAATCATGCATGCGCGCCGTAAGCCGTAACGCGCGCGAGATTCCGCAACGCGCGGAATTCGTGTTCGTCCGCGCGACGACACATACACGTATGTCTGGCTTCGAAGGATCGCGCGTACTCACGTACGCACGGCGCGTGCACGCAACAGGCGCGCGTGATCAACAGACCGTGACGATGGAGAGCGTGGTCGTCTTCGGCGAGGCATAGGCATGTATCGACTGGGAGTACCTTGACTGTCAAATGCGCAGGGGATCCGTGTGCGAGTTCGCGCCGTCGGGCTTGTGTCTCGCCGCGCAGAAGCTCAGGCCGAAGCACAGCATCAGCAACGCCACCGAGCCGACCAGCAAGTGACTCGACCAGGACACCGAGCACTTTCCTGAAACAGATGGCATCCGTCCGTCATCGACTCGACTCGATGATCTCCCTTAGCGAAACCTCGACGGCGATCCGTAGCTACCCAAGAGAATCCCCCCAGGGAATAGCTCGGTCGGCCTAATCGTCGTACCGAGGTTGAATATAATCCTCGCTTGTAATGACTTAATCTGCACACCGAGCTAAGCTAATAAATCGAGGTGGACGGATTGTCTTACGACACGGAATAAAGAGGATAATTGATTGCTGCTTTTTAAGAAATTGCAATTAGGTAAAGAATTGCATCTTAACGACGCAACAGCTGGGTAAAAAATATTACTGCAATATTATTACAATTACTTTTAAATATTATGTAATTCATTTTGTTAGTTTTAGATAATAATTAATCTTGTTGCTACTATAAATAACTAATTTTTGCAATAAAAGTATAAGCAGAGAGAGAAAGAGAGAGTAGCGTTCTATTATAATAATTGACATTCTATTTAAACCGGATGATAATATTATAAATGAGCGTAATAATATGTAACTGATATTATTATTGACGTAAATGGAACATACCTAAAACGTATCAGATCTAATTTAGCGCTAAAATAATAGAGATGTTAATTGCGATTCGGTAATTGGGAATATACGGTAGCGTTCGGTTCGAATAACTTTAGGTAATAAGAGCCATGTAGTGATTCGACGAGCACTCGCGCTTCCATCAGAATTTATGAATAAGTTTAATTTTCAATCCACAGGAGGTATCGCTTAACTTAACGGTACCCTCTCGAAATACATGCAATTCGGCCATCGCTCTGACGTTGGTTTTGACGTCGGTTTGACCCACCGACCCGGTCTATTCCTGTGGCACTCACCTGGGATTGCTTGTCACCTGTGCGCCGAATAGCACGGATTATGCGTTTCGGCTGGGTATTCGATAACCCCTTAAAATCCTATCAAAAAACGAACGCATACAACTGCGACCGCGTACAAAACGTCCCGAAATTTCCGCAGTTAATTTTAGCGATTTTTCTTTCGCAAAATCGCCTTTTCGCGTAACTCAGAAAAATGTCAAGATATTTTGATAGAATTATACAAAAAAAATTCAGATTATTTTAACGCTTCGATTTCTATTCGATGCAGCAGCTAGACGAATATTTTTGTCGGGTTTTATCGCGCAGTTAAACCGGATGTGGATTTACCGGAGATGATCTGCGTGCGAGATACAACGTATGCATCCGTAGCCACGGCAAATCAATAACGGATCATCCGGGAATTGAAAGGCAAATCAACGGATCGCCAATGTCGAATCGCATCGTTACGTACCGCGCTGGGGAATTACGGCAAATCAGAACCTACATCCGGAGGTTAGCGAGACGTGAATTTGTGCGTCCCGCGAAGTTACAAGAGCCATAAGTTTCGACTAGTTTATGTAAATAAAGTCTCGAGGAACGGCTGTAGATCGTTAAGTGCTCGATAAAACGCTCCGGGAACTCGCTTGCGAAAATGCGGAAAGTTCCATTACCGATTCTAGTCCATCGTCGTCATCGTTGTCGTTGCCGTCATGATAGTTACGTCTTAAGAGTAATCACGTATACAGACACACGTCCGCAAATTTCGCCGTGCCGCATCGAAACGGCAATTTCTCGCTGAAGACGTCGTTAAACTAGGAAACGAGCAACTAAGGCGCAACTCTCGTCGCGCGCGCGCACGTGCGAGCGCGTTAATTAGTTATCAAATTAAATCGATAACTCGCGCGCCGCATTCCGCCGGAATTAAGTTCCGGCACCATTCCACTCGGCTCGCATCCCGCATCCCGCGGTACCGTCTGCATCGCGTTCCCGCAGACTCGAAAATGATGTTTGAAGGACGAGAGTACTCACCGAGATTGTAAACGTTGGCCCCTTTCCCACAGGATTCGCGTACCTCCCGATTATCCCAGCCTATCGGATACATGACTAGACCGCCGCATATCATCGCTGCTGTAACAAGCAAATGAAAATGGCCTATCAATTTTTAACTACACGCGCAAATTTCAGCTGCTATTAAAAACCGTCCGCGTCGGCCAATCTGATCTGTTCATTCTTCTGTAGAAGTGATAATATTGTTAGGAGATAATAGGCTCTCTTTCCCTTGAAAATATTATAAACATGAAGAACATGAACATTTTAGTCAAAAAAAGCACTGTTCATTTCGTGATTTTAACATTGGGTTTTGCTTTTCTCCTGAGAAATCAGTATTACCACATTCTCGACTTCATTCCGTATCGATCATGTCGCACAGAGTTCTATGACTCTATCATTTTTCGAAAACGACCCTTGAATGCAGAAAAGGAGCAAATCGAGAATAACGAACTTGGAGCGCGTAAATGGAATACGTCAATAGTAGAAGAAGAATGACGTTGCCATGATATCTATTTTATTTGGGGACAGTTCATTATTTCGCTGCAAAATGCGAATCTTTCGCAGTTCCGTTGAGTTGGCGTCAATTTGACGAGCGAACGGCTTGTCTTTTTAAAGGTGCATTATTTTTTCTCTCTCATGCTCAATAAAAAGGGTTCAAAGCCTATTTTATCTTATTCAACGATAGGCGGAAAATATTTCTCTTCCCAAATTGATAACGGCACATTTGATGATAATGACATGTTGATGTAGGTATCGCTAAATTATGAATTGCAAAAAATATACTCATAATATACTCACCAGCGAACAATTGTAAGGAGCCTAGAATTCTCGTGTGTTTCGGCGTCCTGAGAATATGCGGGAGGAATGACGACGCTGCTGCTAGAAGCGTTAGAGCGCCGATCACTGCGATCGCGACGCCGATTCCCATTGTGACTGTGCTCGCCTGCCACCAGGCACTCGGTATGTCCCAAAAACTACAACGAAAATTGCAGTTTATGATGGAAAATTCTCTCAATAAATAAATAAATTAATTAGGAAAAAATTAATTAAAAATCTCGTTGTTTGAAAAAGAACATAATTTTATGTGTGAGAGAATGTCCATAACATAGATTTATCAAAATTTTTGAATATTTCTCGCGATATTTTATTATATTTCCTGGTATATTCAACATTATGTTGCAATTACAACAAAAGGATTCACATCGAATAGTTATTGGAACAAATATAACATTTTATTTATTAGTTGTAATAGGACGATTCGAGTAACATTGAAGCTCCAATCGGCGTACAACGTATTCATCGCGAATTTGATGAAATAAACTTTATTCATTATTTACATATTTGTCTTTCTACATTAATCAATAACAACGTGTGCAGTTTATACGACAAAATTAGCGCGGATTTATCGAGCCAGTGCCTCAAGCAAAACGGAGCAAATATATTTTCATGTAATTATATCCTGATGCAATAATATTACGGGAACTAACTCAAACGTAAAATCATTTGGCTAATGCATTTCGATGTACGATTAAAATTTTCACGGAGAAATTAAACAAAGTTAAGCTAAATTATATTATTGTTTACAGAATTTTCTGGTATTTTGAACAGGAATTAGTAATTTAATGGCATCGTGAAATTTGTAACACAATTTCTCAGCTGATATCTTTGTGTCAGAATCGTGACTTGAATCTCTTACACACCGAAAAAATATTCTATAATTCACCGATGGAATATAATAAAGTAAACAATTACGTTGACAATTACGCAAACGAACTTTGCGTTTCATAGAAATTCAAAAAAATATAACGTTGAATATATTCCAAATAAAGAATCGGCTCTGAAATTGCCGATGCCGAAAAGCGAAAGGGTGATGCGGCAGGATATGGAAACGAACGGAACGTAACTATGCGGAATATTTTTCGTTCTATGCAAATATTATTCGCGAGAGATATCGTCGCGTAAAATATCGTATTATCTGTTTTTAGCTTCCCGAAGTTTTGATCCGTTAATCACAACCAAACGCAATATTTTTTGCGGCGTGCAGTCTAACGTAAAATATTGTATATTGTTCGCTCTTTTGTTGCGTAAAAAAAAAATGGATTATCAATCGAAGCGAGCACTGCGAAGTTAAAAATGCCCCTCGTTTCTCATACATTTTCGTAGCTATTCCCTCGACCTACTATTTATTTCGAGGGTGCTAACTCGTACAGCTTTTCTGTGTCAGTTGATTTTAAATAAATCCAATTCTCAAAATATTTTTAACTCACATGTATTGAAATGGCGTTGCAATAAGTGGAACAGCAAAGAATATCCCCAGTATATTAGTAATAATAATATAAATGATATCTTTGAACAATTTAAGAAATTATTTTATAAAGCTCGCCGCGAAACGAATCGTCGATAAATTACTGAATTGACTCCACGCCGAAAGGTAACGTTTATGGAACTATCGAATCATCTCGATTTGCAGAGACCGGCTATTAGCACTTATAGTGCCTGCACCGCTTGCATTAGGGGGAGGAAGAGAAGGGAGAGAAACACATTTCGCGTGCATACGATTATGCTATCGGGCGCGTTTGGTCAATCGGGGAATTGCTTGTGATACAACCGACACTTTCGAAAATCAGATATTGAAACAGTTGTAATGCGGACTGACAATGAGTGAATCTACATTGGGTGCTTTCCAGTTAACGACACAAGTCGACACAAGCGTAACTCTATCTTTGTCATTCACTAGATGTTGGAAAAAGACAGAATGACGCTTGTGTCGACTTGAGTCGCTAAATGAAAAGCACCCATTTGTGATGCTGCGGATGGAAAAAAAATGACTTAATACGTGGTAATCGAAGTGTATCTTGCAACGTTAAAAACGTCGACATCAAACTCTGCAAAAAAGTCTGTCGTTAAGATTAAATTTTCTTTAAAAGTCTGCCGGCATCGCTATATCTTCTAATCGACAAGGGATGAAATCCAACGAGTGGATGAAACTTTATTCGGTCACGAATGCATTGCAGATGAAAAAGGAATGAAAACGTAGGGCGGCTTCGGATAGTACCCACACCATCCGACCTACATACATACGAATTTGCGGAAATTAAATTAGAGATGCATATTTTTATATCTTTTTCCGTAGCGAGATATCGTTGGAAAAAGTATAAGCGGAATTAAATCTGCGAATGACTCATTATCAGCGCTCGTGTTTGCCACACGGTATTCTCTCAGTGGGAAGTACGCTTTTTTGCAGAGAAACCTTCCACAGATATTAAGACAATGCTATAATCTCATCTTTAGTTACATTGTGATAATAGTTATATACTTTAATTAACGTGATGTTAACGTCAAAATCCTTCTCGCTTTAAAACTAACTCGAGAGTATATATAAAGCGCGTTATAAAATAAAGTTCTGTCCGTTGACGAACGTTTTGAAAAATACATAATAGTGATGTACGCACGTCAACTTTATTTTCTGTCTTTTCCGCTATTGTATACGTACTCTCGTGAAGTAAGAACAATCTCCATACAATTCCGTACCGCTGTTGACATCATCAATACATATGTAGCTAAATCGATCATATTGTCCGTCTACAACTCATATGAGGCGCAAAATTGCAATTCTCTTTTCACGAATAGCGAACAGATAAAACTCATCGATTCAGGCAACATTAAATTAAACTTGAGATGAATTACTATTTCCGCGGCCATCTGCGAAACGAAACATATTGCGGACGGGTCCAAAAGTGATGCACGAGTGCGGAGTGTTAGATCGATTAACGAATTCCGGGGATGACGATAAAAAAGGATAGGAAGTTTCCATAATTTGTCACGGGTCGTTGCGTCACTTTTGCCACATACGCGCAAACCTTGCGCGTATTTTCGATCACGAATCCTGGAATAAATCCCAATTTCTGTTTTCAACACTTTCACCGATCCTACGAAGCAAATACGGGGATTCGATCGTTCAGTTGCGGATAGTACTGGCTAAAAAACATATGATACATAAATACCTTCATATTTTGCGCTGGAAATGCAAACAAATCTGATTAATCACGCGTGTGCACGCGTTTTATCGTGATTATTGTTACGTTCATTATTATGATTATTATCGGTACCACAACGCAAATAAATGTATACCGATTAGTTTCCTATATTGATATTAATAATATTAAAATTATTAATATTATGGAAATATGTTTTCATGCATACTTAATGCACGAAAATTTATTTTAATGCAAGCTTAATGCAAGTTACGTGTAACTTATATATATTTTTAATTACAAAATGCAGTTTATAATTCTTGTTTATCGTTTTTGTTACAAAGACTGAAAATATCTGGTTTTAACTCAATTATTTTTGCACATTTTAGAAGCTCAAGAGGATTGATCGTGAATTAATTCCTGTATTAAAAGGCAAAAGTGGTTCGTTTATTTTAGGTAAAACAAACAAGAAATAATTATTTTCTTTTTGGAGTGAACTTATGATTTGCTATGTAATTCTGAGTTCTGTGCACAAAAAGGAAAAAAGACCGCCTCGTTTCTTTTGCTTCCCCCCTGCTCTTTATAATTCCCTTTGTTAATAATAGTCTTTCAGTTTCAATGCCGCGGGGCGACCGCGATTTTTACGACCGCGCACGCGACGTAAGAACTGACGTAGTTCACGAAGAAAGTTTTTATAGTGCGGTGTGGCTGCTCCGTTTTCCCGCGCGATCACGACATCCGTGCGAGGTATTCCGCGGGAAATTATTCCACGGGCCACTTGAGTTCGGCTTAAATTATTCAGATTCGCATTCCGAACTAACCCGTCCGTCGTCGAAACTACAAATTTTATCCCATCGCATGCGGGCCACAAATGCGTGCAAATCTTTTTTTGCCACGCGCGCGGCATGCTTTGTATATTTCAAATTCCACGTAAATTTACGATAAATGTTCATTACTAGTAAGCGTTTATAATCCTGTTTTATGTTAATTAGATTGTACGACGTCATACGTACTAATTATAAATTAATAAGTAACATATACAAAACATTTTTTTTAATATATATATAAACATATAATAGAATACAAATTTTACTCCGTATCGTTGTCAGAGGCAGCGAACATATGACTTTAATTTGATAATATAACGATTCGTTTATTTCACACGCTGCACAGTCTTTCTCGTGTGAATTATATTTTTTTACATTACAGGAGATCTCGTTAAAACGAGATAATTAAAGTCGCGTTTAACGAAAGGCATCCGGCATTCGTTGACGAAATCGTTATCATTTTAGTCGATCGCGGCGCAGAATGACTCACGAGAACGACTCGAGCAGATTCGCGAACAACTGTTCTTCGCCTCCTCCTGCTCCTTGGAGAATCGTAATCGTAGCTACGTGCTTGTGCTTTGATATATAGGAATATAGCGTTGCGAGAATACGTACCTGGAGTACCTCGCGCACTCGTAAACTATCTCGGGCGTGGCGTTGGGCGCCCTGATTCGCGGATAGTTGCAACGCCGAAAGGAACTGAAGTACGCGTCCGCTTTCCCCAGCAGTCGTCCCTGAAATACACAAGGCCGCAGAAATACGGCAATTACGCTACTGCGTTTTAGCGACAGGCTTTATATAATAAAACTATACAGAGCATCGCGCGAAGCTCGCTAACTTTGATATCTAGAGAGCTTAAAATTAAACGGCCTGATAAAAAGTCGATTAAAATGCAATAGAGCTCATAAATATTAAAGAAATTTGCAAACTTAATTTCATCCCCCTAATGTAATTTTCCTGAATTGTTTGTAGAATGGAAGGTAATTGCAGGAATAAGATGAAGAATATTTGAATAAGTGTAAGGTAGAAACGTTGACGTCAATTTGACGTCATTTGAATGCTGCTGATTCGTGACACGAAGATCCTAGCTTCGCGCGAACATGCAACAGCAAGAGACTTGTGCATTCTATTCATTTATATGCGAAGGCGATGGTACAGCAAGGGAAATTTTCTCCTCTTTCCAACAGATTTTACACGGCGCCAAAGAAACGGAAAATGTCTCGCCGTTCTGTTTGAATGCTTTTGATTGCTTCTCTTAATACGGAAAAAATATAGCGCGACCGTCTGGCGGAGGAGGTGGTCGTAATAAGCTTGCTTGTCGTTTGCCAAATGCCGTTTCCTTCGAGCACATTCCTCTTTTCGCGTTTGTTTCCATTAATAAACTGTAATAAAAGTCCCCGACTAAACATAAAATTGCATGATTTTATAAATAAGTTCTTATTTTTTTAAAGAGCTTTTCATTCCGTGCTTATAAATAAATCTCTACGTTTTTTGAAATAAAAAATATATGTAATAAAATAAGTACCTCTAATTACAAAAAAGAATTAATTATCGCAATATATTTTTTGTTGAAAACAATATTTTTTAAAGTTTGTTTTTCTAATGTAATAACCAAATAAATTCAACCAAAAATTATAGCATTAAATAAAGAAACTGTGAAAAAGATCGCATTATACATGTATAAATACACACATAGAGAAATAATATATCACTTATAAAAAATTATATATTATTTATGTAATATATGAAAAGTGTACGTTTATATAAAAATTTATTAGTAATATACATATTTATTTTATACAAATTTGATGCCACAAAATGTAGCACTTAATTTGCACTGATAAACCTATACATATATAAATCTATAAAAAATGAAAGGAGATAAAAGTCATGTAGAGAAAATAATTAATTCCAAAGAGAAATCCCCCATCCGTTAATTAAACCGTTGAAACGCTTTGGATAACAAGATTCCTTTTGTAACAAGGCTTCCCTTATAGCTCTAGAGTCTAGATTCCTCCGGTGATTCGCTATACCGCGAACCGATACGTCATTAATCCTAAACAGTACAAACGAGCTTTCAGAAACGAATCATATCCAATATCAACAGTAACGAGATCTCAGAGAAACAAACTGTAACTTATCTCACCATCCACGAACCGAAAGCCTTAAGGACGTTCTCTCGTCCTTATACTAGAGAAAATCGATTTTCATAGGATTTTCTTGAAACTGTGAATATACGTTAATTTAGGTGTGCTCCATGCGTGGTATAAATTTCAGTACCTCTTCCGGTATAAAAAAATCAAGATACTGAGCCTCAAAGTTTCAACTTTTACTAATGAAAAGGTTTTCCAGGCTAAACGGTAAGAGATACGAGGTTGACCAAAAGGACCAAAGTTGCTCCTCTCGTCGAGTTCTATAAGGAAAAAATGTCAAAACTAAAAAAATTAAATTTTAAAATTTTTTTTTGAAATGTTGAGGCTCAGTATCTTTATTTTTTATACCGAAAGAGGTACTGAAATTTATACCACGCATAAAGCACACCTAAATTAACGTATATTCACAGTTTCAAGAAAATCCTAAGAAAATCAATTTTCTCTAGTATAAGGAAGAGAGAACGTCCTTAAAAGGATTTATCAAAGTCGTTTCATGTACGAAGTTAGCTGCCTAGAGAAAATGCAAAATAAATTCGAAGCGGAAGAAGTTGCGATTTTCTGACCGTATAACACTGAAAAGCGGAACTCTATCTTTCGAGAAGCGGTTTCCGGTTGCAACGCGACGCGTAGAATATGAACAATTTGGCCGCAAGTGCGGACTCCGTTTGTAAACTACCTCGAATCTGCGACAACATCGGCCAGGCCAAGTAAAGGCAAGTAGTAGTCACACGAAGTACAAAGTTACCCTCTACTCGACGATATTCGCCTCATCAACTTCTCTCTACCAAGTTGCCGGTACCCAGAGCGTTCTTGTCTCATTCAAGAATCTTGTACGCGTAACGAACGTCTCGGTAAGTTTCAAGGACCGAAATTTTGCCTCGCGTCACAGCCAGAACTTTCGTTACGCTTGTTGACAATCCCGGACTGTAGTTAGAGTGAAATCATTCAATTGTGTGAATTACGGTACTCGACAACGTAAGCACGTCGTTATTTTATCACGTTATTATAATTATCACTACGATCTTTAACAAATATTTTTATTAACCTTTCTATTTATTGATGTATTCTAGAAAGTTTTAGATTAATAAACAATATAATAACTTTGAATCCTCTATCATATTTGTTGGTACAATATATTGATATATAAGCTTTTCTTTTTCGCGTATTACTTTTATCACAAATATAAATTTTTCTTCAGTTTGCTTTCTTAACTTTGTCAAACTACCAATTACGTTACAATACGTAACGAATATCTGTATATTAAGACATTTACACCGTAGAACTAATGTTTCAGTTTCGCTCGTGGTTTAGAACGAAGAATCTGATTACTATCGCCGCTCTACAATCCATCTTGTCGGACGACTCGAGCTCGTTCGATTTCTCACGTTTTCTTTGCTCTCCTTTTACCTCTTATTTCTCTAGCTTCTCTGCTTTTCTTATTTCCAAGTTGCTCTTTTCTCACCACTCTCCGCTCTGTATTTCGCTTCTTTGTCGCAAACTCCGCCGCTATTCATCTCGTCCGATTTTACATCTTGCGCACGAACGGATGGATGCAAAAATAAAAACGTAAATAGCTAGTAACATTATCTACTGTATAATATTCAACGTGAATAATGTTACAATTTTATCATAACGTTAAAGCTCGCGAATGTGCAAAGGTGCTTTAAAACGAATATCCGGAATATCCTTTAATCCGCGTTCTGACAAAGGCACGCTTGCATTCCCGGCTCTCAGCTAATTTATTGAAAGATACATCGATATACGTATAATTACATTTAATCGGATTACACTTAACTACACGGCAGGAATGAAAAATTAATAGGAACGGACATTGAAGAACAGCCGTTGCGCCGTTCTCGTAGTTCGTAACTCGATCTTGGTACGTAAGTCTTGAAATTCAAGTTCGCGAGTTTTAACCGTCTAATTTCTCATTAAACGGCTGAGAGAGTGATAAATATATTACCGCTTGAATATTCGAACGAGTGTAAAAAGCACACGATGTAAGAAGCAACGTAAGACAAATATACAAATTCCGTTCTCTCATGAATTATAACTTCAACGTAGATGTGCTGCGTGCCATAATACGCTAAATCGTTCATTAGTCAACAAACTTGACGTCTTATTAAAATCGCGAAATGTTCTCGGCATGTCGTTCAAAGCTCACAAAATTATTGACATCTGTACTTTAGTAGCCAAACACGCAAATTTCGTCGTTCCTATCGCGGCGCAGTGCCTATTAAATCGCTTTACGATCGTGCCAGAGAAATTGTCGCAGTCGTCAAAATCGTCGATACCAGGCCCTCCAACGATAAGCGAGAACGACTTTCTTCATATCTCCATGTCGTCATCGTCATGTTCGCGGAAAGGCAAAGTTCTCGTGTATATGTACATATACGGCGATACGTTACACGAATGGAAGTCCTGAAAGTGCGCGAGCTACGATCGTACGAAATTCCGAATGATCCTTCGACGATGTCGCAAAAATGCGAAAACCGATGTCGTTTAGTTTTACAGCGATGGAGCGAGAGAAGTGTAGCTACAGCGAACTAGCACTCGATAAGCATAATTCTAAAAGTTGTCAGTCATGCCAGCTAAAAGTTATTGGTCATTCTGTGCTTGTTCGCCAGTTGTGCGATGCATATATATCGGGATATCAACCAGTATATCATCGCAGAACTAATTCAGTTGTGATCGGAAATAATGTTATTTTATCGTATCCGATTGGACGAGTTGCTTTCGTATTTATCGGTACGCTGCTTTATCGCCCCATTAATGTCGCACATTAACGACTATCAGAGTTGCGTCGATGTTGCCGCGCGATAGAAAGAGAAAGCGATATTGATTTGATTATAATGGAGGTATATTTAGCGCTGGGGGTTCGCGCGAGAATCCAAGAAAAACAAAAACCCGAAGATACGGAACTCTCGTGTTTCGTTAATTATTCGCGGCTATCTCATAACTCCCTCAAGATTCTCTCGCGATTAACTGCTATAATCTTTAAAAATTGCTTCAACTCCAAGGAGTTGAAGAACTTTCGAAAGATAGATTCCAGCGTCTTCTCGTAGCGGCATAACGCAATTAAGAGCGCGTAATGCGATCGCTCACCTGTATCCAGTAAGGCAGGTAAAAACCGGAGCACGCCAGGATCGAGGCTACGGTGGACAGAGTAGCCCACAGCACGCACAGCACTGTCATCTCATCGGTTTAGAAGCGTCCGCCTCTCTCTCTCACGCACCGCAGTTCATTCTCCATTCGTGCATGACTGGGGATCGCCCTCCCCTAAGCGGTATCAGGATTACGAACTTCGGCGCATCCGCACAGGAGAGATCGGTATCTGCCTACGTGGACAGCCGATCCCGACAGCTGCTCTCGACAACGTTTTGACCCTTGTCGATGTTAAATCGCCCTCTCTTTACGTCATGGCTGGCAAAAGGCGCCGATCGATCGTGCGAGTGACATTTATTAGGGTATTGATGTTCCTGTCGCGGCTCGTTTGACACTCGCGGGACGTTAATTCCGAAATCGATCGACCTCTTCCTAATCACGGATCAGGACGTGCCTGGCGACGCGTTCTCTCTCGAGTCCGAGTATCCGAGTGTTTTAATCATTCCCTCTTAATCATCGGGTCTTCGTCGTCGTTTTCCGATGTAGCACCGCCGAGAGGCCGCACGCGAAGCCGTTAATTCAGCTTCCGCGAGGAATTACTCCGCTCGTAAAACGTGACCGAGGTGTCGCTCAGAATATCACTTCTCCGAAATGAGTCACACGGTTAATTCCGATTTCCCGCTCTGTGACATGCTTCGCGCCGCAATATTCATATCCGAGTGACGACGAAGCGAGGGCGCGATTTCTCGCTTACGCAGCGAGAAACGAATAAGAAAGTTATCCTTTCAAACGATCGCACAGTTCACCCACTACTCGAAGTTCCATGGTCGATCCACTCCCTTTCCACACCACAACTGCTATCCAGATTCAAGAAGTTCATTATTCCGCAAAACTTATTAACGCCGCTTGTTGATGATTCTTCTTCGACGGATGTCACAAAGATCGCTCCTCGAAGTTACTATGCCATATCGATCGTTGAATCTGGCTAATCGTTCGAAATGCGGCGTTTATCGGAGATAAACCGATAGAAGAAACCCGTGATGTACAAGTCGCATCCTTTGTTTTTTCTGAGTCGCGTTACTAATTTACCAAGAGTCCGTTTTCCATCGAGAATCCACTTGTGGACTTAAGTTCTTGCAGATATAGCACTTCGTTCCGCTGCCAGACGCTTCCTCCGCGGTTAATTATAGACCTGACCACCGTCGCGGCTTCGTTACCCACGCTGCGGTGTACGCTCTCCGCCGCTCCGCCGCGTTCCCGATAAGTGAAGCATTCATGTAATAAAATATTCGTATCATCCGAGATACGATTCATCCGCCTCAAAGCCGGGCGCCGCCACTCTCACGTCCGCGGCGGGCGCGAGAAATCTCGAGGAAATCACGAAGCGGAAAATTGATGTCCAGGTTGACCAGCGTTTTCGGTTGAAATTTTTAATTTCAGCTTGATGACACCCCTTTCTCGAACAAAAGGAGACGAGACGACTGACGACGAGAAGAATATAGCGTGCGCGGATGTTACCCGACGTCGTCGTCCGTCGTCGCGTCGTCGTCGCGTACGGCGCCGCTTCGTGGCTGCGACTGAACGGTTCCGTTCTCCACTCGGAGCGTTCCTCCTCCTCTCATCTCGCCTCTCTCCTACCCATCCGCGCCTGTTCGTGCCGCTCCGCGCCGCGCCGCGACCACACTGTGTGGGAGAACCGAGGACTGAGGGCGCCCAGCGACGCACCAGCATCCAGCATCCCGCTCTTGGACATCTGGCGAGCACACGTCGTGCACGCGTGGAGAACGGCGACACGAATCGCGGATACACGCGTTACACGACGCGACGGACGTGTGCGTGCGCAACGTAACACGTGTACGAATCATGCTGCTCCGTAGACCTCGTATGCTAATGGAATATCAAATAATCGCAATACGTTCACCCCTTTTCCACCCCCATTACTACCCGTTAATCGTCGTTGTTCGAAATTTCCAACGGTGATAAGTTGAAACCCAAAGTAGGACATGGTTAGGAAATATATTATCTCATCGCCTGTTCTTTATACGTAGGTTCAAGCAGCAATTGGAAAATCTTTTTTCCCCTTTATCGATATTTTAACATTAATCTTTCTTGTATTTTTTTCTCTTTTTTCTATGCATACGACACGATCGATACAATGACAAACGAACTCTAACGGGAGTCCCCGGTGTATCGGTTTAGGGATGAAGGGCTCGATGCTTCGGTTGTCATGGATAGGCTAAAATAATTGAGGGCTTATACCACCCATACATACTACTACTATCACTCATTAATAATATATATCGCGACGTATCGTTTAATATAACAAACCGTTCAATTATTTTAGCTTACTATATGGTGTCTCAAAATCATCAGAAATCTTTTTATTAATGGCAGGTTCTTTAATCAATTTAAAGTCAATTTCTCTTTAGCAAGCATGTCGAGGTATCAATAACTTTCGAGGTATTATAAATAATAAAGGAAAAAATATTTTTATTTAATGAGATTTTGCGAAGGCAAATATATTAAGAGAAGAAAATTATATTTAATTAATTTTTTAATTAATTTTATGTATAGTTCATTTTAGGACAATTTTGATTTGCACTAGTTACAAAAATATGTGATCCAAATAATTGAAAAATTACAATAAATATTATTTTTCCAAGAAGACAAGATCGACAAAGAATTTGTCATAAAAGGATAGTCAGTGATTTTCAGACACCCTATATACGATGTTACAATTTATCACCAATCCTACTAGCTTAAGTAGAAACAATTGCACGGCACATGAAAATGAACGGATGAGACAATAAGACAATTCTTGATAGCGCAAACTTGGCATAGATCCAGAAATGATAATACAAGGTGGAATGGTTCGTTGCCAAATCAGAAACACTTGCTTTTGTCACAAAAATCCCCTCTGCTTGAAACACGGAATTAGCTCGTAATTGCTAATGAAATTGTGTATGCCCCAATTCTATGTATATTGATATGAGGCGCTAATGCACAGCGTCACCCCTCTCGCCACAAAGCCTCCCCGGGTTGGAATTGACAATGCGTGTGACCTGCCCCATGCATCGAGCCTTTAGAAATTCGAGAAATCTCGTCAGAGAGTTCAGCGGGAGCGTGTGGTTGGTAAAATTGAAATGTCTCGACCAGTGAAAGCACCATTTGGAAACGTTATGATTAAAGAGACTCGTTACGCGTTACGTAAAGCACGATACGAGAGATATTCTTTTATTATTTTTTATGTAATATTATCTATACCGCACACGTGTATATATCCAATATATTTTTATTATGTATTCATATTCGTCTTACATGTAGATCGCTCGTTTGGTAAATCCGCAACCGCATTGTTGTTCTGGGCAGCTCTGCTCCACGTCCATTGTGGAGAACCTCGTTAACATTTCCATCATCCATCATCGACATAGAGACGCTCTCGGTCGTTCCCGCCGGCTATCGACGAACACGGGTGGTCTCGTTTGGCACCGGCTATCAGTCGCATTAGGAAAATGAACTGTTAGTTTTTCTCCGCAAGCGTAGGACAACGACAAATGCAAAAAGCCGTGAAATAAGAACGAAAGCTGGACCAAAAAACAAGCGTGATAAAAAATGGGGAAAAAAAACCGGAAAAGGGCAGATCGACGACTCGCGACGAAAACATTTTGCGTGAAACGGTAATGAGACTTTTCTATTCTGCTGGATTGCGCAGGAGAAAGCACGAGCCTTTCATCCATCGCTCGGCTTTTCCATGCATGCGCGCATATATATGTGTGGATGCATGTGTTCAAATTAAGATGATCCGACACGCTGGTGGGACGAGTAAATGGTTTTAAGTGCGGTAAAGTCTCATTTCGCTGTAAATATTATCGAGTTTTATGGTCGACGCTCTAACACGCGCACTGCCGCGAAATATCGTTTGCGTAAGCACAGTTTTATGCGCTGCTTTACCCGCTCGGTTACACCGCATTACCGCTGGCTATAACATCGTCGCAACAATAATTTTAATCCACCATCAATCGACGAGCGTTCGCGAAGAGATCGTCAAAGGGAGATCCGAGGAGAAACAGCGGTGAATGCAGTGAAATTTTCTGAAAACGGAGAGCGAGCTCCTTCCCTACGATATCATCGCGCCAGTCCCGAGTCTCCCATCTCCGAACGAGAAAAGCGCTATCCCCTCAAACAGATTATGAGTCCCGGATTTATTTTTACGACCGGCCAGATCCCAGCGTACTCATCTCTGCGTTGAGGAGGAGGAGGAGCAGGAGAAGGCGAAGGACTGATACCAGCTCCCGACTCCCGGTTGATTCGATAGCGGTGCTTCGAATCATGACACCGTAAAATATATAACGGCGCTTTTTATAGAAAGCAACGCGAGCGAAAATAATCATCACCGAGCGTCCAACGATCTAGAAGGAGAAGGGGTGAAATCGTTAGATCACCCTTTCATTCAAGTATATCACAGACGAGAGCAATGAGCAACGCATCATTCCATTTGATGCATGACATCAGAATTGATTTAATGCACGTTTTCGCGTGCATCGTAAACCGCGGCTGATTACCCAGCTAGGAAATTGAGATACAGACGGTACGCGAGACGTTGTTCCTTCCTCCATTCGCGCTCTTATCTCTAACTCTATTTGCCCGGGTAATGAGCTTTCCGCTACCATATCGTCGTCGCTAACGTTACCGTGGAGTATGCCAACTCCACGGACGTTTGCCCGTCCATAGAAATTTCGCGTGCATGAAAAATAACGGGGGTTATCGGCCTCCGCTATCATGGGGCTGAATACATTCCAGACAAATTATGTATCGCTGGGGATCAAAGACAGGCGACGGCTTAAAAAAGATGATTTATCAGATAGCGACCTCGCTTCCGACTGTTATGGTACGATGCGTCAAACGAAGTGCTGCAGGCAAATTGCGCACGAATCCTTCTCTCTTTTTCTGTCTCTATCTTCCGCAATGAGGGAGATTTTACAAAAGGAGATCGAGCTGAGGATATATAGCCTCGCGCGCGGCGCGCCGGATCGAGAAAAGAGTCTTATCTTCGTGCGACCGCGAGGTTGACTGCTGAATAAATACGGTCGATTCGATCTGCCACCAATGAACTTTGCGATTTGCTCGGCTCGGTCAGTGCCCTTGAAACGCTGTAAAATGTGAAGACGTGAATTGGAGAACGGTAAAAGCAGGAGAGGATAAAGGAAGGCGAAAGAATGAAAATATCGGGAGGAATGACCATTTCTGTAGCATTAAATTCAATGTAAGAATATTTGTAGGAAAGCAATGTGGCGCAGGAATAGATGTACATTTTAAATTTGCGAATACTGCTCTGTGCACGCTAGCAAGAACTCGTCGTTCTTGTTACATAACATTCATACGATATGACGGCAAACTCGCATTCATATTTCACGTAGTATTACACAAATAGTTGGCGTTTTATATGACAGATCGGTGTAATAGCGAGGGCTCTCCGCAAAAAGCAGCAGTTACAGAATCGCGTTACATGGAAAAACTACGCCGTCCTCTCGCACACACGAGAAATCGAGCAAATTCCTCCCTTTTCTCACTCGGTCGAATTAATCGTTCCGCCGGAAAGAATTCATTTCCTTATAGGCGCCTAATTACGTGCTTTTTGTCGATCGTTCTACGTATCATCTGATTTGTCTATCGCCATCCGATGTGAGAGAAGGAGAGAGACATGTCCCGATGGAGAATCAGTTGACATCATGGCTTACTATAGCGAAGCGAACGTAAAGTTGTAAAGGAAAAAGCAATGTGAATTTACCAGAGATGTATCCTCGATCGAGAGCGATAACTAGAAAATTATTATCTTTAGTTAGTCTCGATTTTTTAACCGGAAAATTGAAAGACCGAAATAATATTTCTGTGAATTAGCGTTACCGCATGCTGTTGCCTGTCCAATCTTCATCACTGTCGCGTATAGCTTGGTGGGGCTTAGGTATGCTGTCGACAAGTTTTTCTGACGTAGTCTCGAAATAATGGTCGCCACGTGGCTCCGGCATGACGCTTGTTTTAAAATAAAATATTTTTTCTTTCTACAAGAATTTCTGGCTGAATCTTAAACAGATTGATCGTTTATATGCAGGAAACTCTTTAGATAGAAGGCGTAACGGAATTATTATCAAATCATATTTAGAATTATGCGAATATCTTAATTAAATGCTTTCAGGAGTCGAGAAGACAGTTTAGTCTTACAGACGGTAACAAAGCTAGAATGTTTGCCAGTTAATAAGAGTAGCAGATAGTTGTGCGGAGTCTGCAATGCCGCTATTGAGTACTTAAGTGACAGGATTCCAACTTGAGCCAACGTCGGGGGTCAGACCGACGTCGGCGCCGACGTCGGCCTCGCCGTCACTCCCGACATAGACGACGTAGACGTTAGGTGGGTAGCATGCTAATGAACTCGCCTACCAGCGCGGAACTTATAATTTGCTAGGAGCACTTTAATCAAAGAGCAACGGGCAATTACAATCATTCTTGGCATCTCTCACCCGTTCTCCTTATTTCGATTCGTTTTGAGTCTGGCGCGTAAAAAAGATTACGGTAAAAAAA